CAGATACATCTCTGTAACACTTATGTCCTTCCATTGTCAAAGCCGTAATTTCATTGAAACATAAGAGTTGGGCACCATGTACTTGTAATAGTTAGTTGTTTGAGTAACAATATTGTTCATCATTGTGTCATCAAAGAATAATGAAGTCAAGTTCAGTGGAATCCTTTGTTATAGAACAGTTTGGCAGAATTCCACTATTGCTATCATCAAACTGTGAAATATTTGGTGTATAATATTTGCCATTGGTGTCATAGCTTGTAGAGGTGTCACTGCTGGTGATGTTGTTACTACTGGTGGTATTGCTACTGGTATTGTCATTGGTGTTCTTGTTGGCATGGCTGGTGCTGTTGTCACTGCTGTTGTTGCTGTCATGGCTGTTGTCACAGCTGGTCTTCGTGCTTCATGTCATTTTCTGATACAAATGAAAGCACCATCAATGTCCCAATCACCTGCAACACTATCTTCTCTATCTCTATCACTATCACTGAAACATCACTCCAGTGAGAACCAGACCTTAGTGCAGCGTCTCTCCAGTGTTTGTTTTATAGAAGAATATATCGCATCACTGTCACTGGAATCAGCACTCTCCTTCTCATACATATATTCCTCTCCACTGTCATAGCTCAAATCACATTAATCACCATGCAAATCTGGAGTAAAAAGTAGTTGACATCCACTTTGTGGTAAGACCAGAGGTGGAAGGCACTGCTATATCTTGAGTTGAACTAGCAGTTCCTTCATTCCTGGTCAAACTACAATTACCGTCACCTTCAAACCCAGGAAATGATGCTCCATTATCTTTATCCTCAATGTCATTGATATCAGAATTGAACAGGATTGCCTGGATTTCACTGCAAGAAAGGTTGGAGTGTTGGCCAGCCATGGTGAGCCCATGTTTACTAGGTGATAATACCCACAGTGCCCTGTGCATACCCGCACAGCCTGGATGTTTTTTCTAGGAGACACGAGGTAGCTAGTGACTTGAGCAACAGCTGAGGCCAAAAAATAATCCTTTTTTATATACTGGTACAGTATTGCTCAGTTTCTATTAACCAGGCATTTTATTTTCGAAACTTCCACTTGAGAGTCCAGGATTGTTTAGAACATGGCACCTAAACCAATATCTGGCATTTTTCATCTTTTTTTCACACTGGCACATTATTTAAAATACAGTATGTATTGGTAGACAACTGCCCAGCAATTTGCTGCATTTTTTAAAATACACGTACTGTATGTACGAGTTTCGAACTTATTTCATTCCAGAGTGCTGTTCGAGTACCAATACAGAACGAATTGTTCCCATAAGGAATAATGTAAATTAGATTAGTCCGTTTCAGACCCCCAAAAATACACTTACAAATGCACTGACACAAATACGCTTACATAATTGGTCAAGTTGGGAGCAGTTCGAAACTTGGGGTACCGCTGTACTTGAGAAACCACCATAGTGTAATTTTTTTTTTTTTTTTTTTTTTTTTTTTTTTTTTAGAGTACAGTGGGTAGGGAACTCATTAACCATCATTCATTCAGTGCCATATTGTCTTGCTAGACGTGAGGAGACAACACAGCTTGATTGACCCCATATTTATTTTAATTTTTATTTCTTAGTAATACCCAGTTCCACAAAGTTAGGAGAGAGGATTGTGTGGGGGTTGTTATTTGCTAGAAATGTTGAAGGTAGGGGGTAAAGGAGGTTTTGTGTGAGGAGTCTAGACTTCCAGCAAATATGCGTGAGTGTGTTGGATAGGAGCGACTGGAAGCAGACTGTTTTTATGACTTGACATGCTGTTGGAATGTGAGCAAAGTAATATTTTTGAAGGGATTCAGGGAAACTGGTTAGCCGGACTCAAATCCTGGAGGTGGGAAGTACAGTGCCTGTGCTCTGAAGGAGGGGTGGAGATATGTTGCAGTTTTTGAGCTGTAGTGTAGGTATGCCTCTGGCAAGACAGTAATGGAGCGAGAGATGATGAAAGTATTTCTTCTTTTTCGGATCATCCTGCCTGGTGGGAAATGGCCGATGTATTAATAAGAAAAACTATTTCTTTCACTGTGAGCCCTGCTTGTGAATCCTTGGCTCATGTACATTATTTCATTCCTTGTTGCTAAGCATGTATATATTTCTTTAGTACAGTTCCTGTCAGATGATTCATTTGCCCTAAGTATTGATTTTTAATAACACCAGAAATTATGAGAATTTAAGGTCTGAATGCAGTACTAGGGGCAAAATGTGTCTAAAATGTATTTCCCCTAATTTTTTTGTAATTATAATTAAGTAAGACATTCACAAATTCACTCTTCATGCACATGGGTTCCCCACCAGCCACCTTCCACCAAACTGTAACTTGAGTGTAGATAACTTGGGACCTGTTTTTCCATAGAAACTTGTTATAATTAGAGATACATTTCTGATCCACACACTCGTTCCATTTCTCACCCTTTGATCCACACACTCGTCCCATATCTCACCCACCACACACTCATCCCATTCCTCACACACCACATACTTGTCCCATTCCTCACACACCAAACATTCAACTACAGCAAGGAGGAAGTAGAGAACAAAGACTAGCGTGTACAAGAAGGAGTGATTGAGTGACTGGTTAGGTGAGTGGGGATAAGAGAGGGAGGGAGTACAGTAGGTAAGTGGGAATAAGAAAGGGAGGGAGTGACTAGGTAGTTGAATGGGAATCGAAGAGGGTGAGAGGGAGTGTAAGTACTGCTTGCTCCTATACATCTCTACTCTCTTCTTCTTTTGTACGTACACCTCAGTAATTAAGCAATTTTTACTACTGCTGTTTTGAAAGTGTTAAGAAACTGTACTGATTGTACAGTAGGACCCTCATACCCAGGGGTCCGGTATCAGTGATTTCAGTTATCCACTGTTTACCCTGGCCTGAAAATAAGCCTTAATTTTGCTTAATAATGGGCTCAAAGTGCAAAAATAATGATGTTGGAAGTTCTTCAAAGCCTAAGAGAAGCCATGAAGTACTTCCCATCAGTGAAAAAGTGATAATTCTCCACTTATTGTGTATCTGTCAATTAAACTTTATAATAGGTACGTATAGGACTTATATATAGGGTTCGCTACTATCCACAGTTTCGATATGGTCAGGTCTTTAAAACGTATACTCTGTGCAGATATGGGGGTCCTACTGTGTAATATTAGTAAACATTCTTACATCTCCAGTGTTAGGGAAAATAGATTCTGAGTTTTAAACACTTCACTCATGAACATTTTTCTGGAAGGCATTAATCTCATGGGCTAGTACTCTGTATTATCAGTCAGTGTTTAATTAATGTGTATATGTTAATTAACCCTTTGACTGTTTCGGCCGTTTATATACATCTTACGAGCCAGTGTTTCAGATGTATATATACTCAATAATTCTAGCAGCTTCAAATCAAGCAGGAGAAAGCTGGTAGGCCCACGTGTGAGAGAATGGGTCTGTGTGGTCAGTGTGCACTGTATAAAAAAAATCCTGCAGCATGCAGTACATAATGAGAAAAAAAACTAACTGTTTTTTTGGATTAAAATGCCGACTTTGAGGTGTATTTTCGTATAGTATTTATCATTGTATTCTCATTTTCATGGTCTCACATGATAAAATGGAAAACATATTGCAGAAATAGAGATGACTTTGATTAGTTTCACATGAAAACGACCTTGAAATTGAGATCAAAGTAGCGGAAATGTTCGATTTTTATCAATGTTAAAGAGTAAGCAAATCACACCACACGTCCAATACACGTCAACTGGGGAGTCTGATATTCTTTCACTAGTTCACTGATATTATTTATGCCATTTTTACAATAATGCAGTAGTCTGCGTAACAGTAAATCTTCTATTTTTTGTGTGAATAACAAATCAAAATAAAGCAAGAATAATATAAGAGGGGCCTGGAGACGTTTCTAATGAACAGAGGATATGTTATTTTAGTGCTAAGAATGTCTGCGTTGTTTATTCTGGATCCTATTTTGAAATTGGCATCATTTTTAATTTGTGTGAAATTGGCCAAATTGCCAAATTCTGACCACTTTATTAGGTAGTTGAAGTTGGTAAATGGGCAGTTCCTTGTACTCAGTTGATAGAAAAAATGGAGTTCTAAAGAAGTAGCTATGAGTTTGATCGACGGGAACAATGGAATTGGCCGAAAATAAACCTCAAAGTTGGCGACATTGCCACTTTGTATATATCGCTGAGGTCTCTAACTTTGCGGGAGTGTAATTCCGTAAGTTTTTGATCAAATTTCATACTTTTGGTGTCATTACCATCAGAAAAAGATTCTCTATCATTTCATAAGAATTTTTTTTTTCCCCCAGAATTTTGTGATGTAGAATGACAATTTCAGAAATGGGCTTACGACAGTCAAAGGGTTAAATATAATAGAATTACAGGAGAGTATAGTATTGTCATTGAATGTTGATGCTGTCTTACTCACTGACAGTGGTTTCCACACCCATAAGTAGTCCTGTCATTTGGAAGGGCAAGTCTGTGTTTCTAAGTACAGTAAAATTCCCATATCCATGGATTCGATTTCCATCATTTCGGTTATCCAGGGTTTACCGTTGCCCAGAAATAAGCCTTAATTTTCTTTAATAATAACACTAAAGCACAAACGTAGTGATGGTGGGAGTTCTTCAATGCCTAAGAGAAGCCGTGAAGTGCTTCCCTTCAGTGAAAAGTGCTAATTCTCCTCTTATTGTGCATAATTCATCAATTGAACTTTATCATAGGTATGAATGCAAATGAAAAATGACTTGTATATAGGGTTTGCCACTATCCACGGTTTCGGGTATCCACTGTAGGTCTTGGAATGTATCCCTTGTGGATACAGGGGACAATTGTACTGTAATTAGTTGGCTTCAGAGTGGTAACAAATGTGGATCATTGTAAGTCAGGGACCTACTCTGCAGTTTATGGTATATGCTAATTATATTGTACAGTAGAGTATATGGTACATGCAAGTTATGTTGCATATAATGTTTTGCTTAATACACAGAGTTGGCAGAATGCGAGGATCAGTTTACTTTCAAGTTACTTTTCCATGGAGGAGGAGGAAGAACTTACATTCTTGCAGCAGACTCTCAAGAATCTCTCGAGGCATGGATGAAGGCACTGGCTCGGGCTTCATACGACTATCTCAAACTCATGGTGGCAGAGCTTCAGAAGCAGTTAGATGAACTTAATGGTTAGTATTACACATTGGTTTTATATTTTTTTTTTTTTTTTTAATTTTTGTGTTATATAGAGGTTCACCTGTATATAACTGTGTATATTTTGTCCTCTTAACACTGAACAAATGCAGTCTTAAGTCATAGCCAGAGGTTAACCCTGCTGCCTCTGAAAAAATTTCTTATTCTGCAAAAAATTTAGTTGAGCTTAAGAAACCTTTTTAGTGTATCTCATATTTTTATGGTGCTTAGTAAGATTCCTTTAAAACAAACCATACCCCCGGCCAGGATTGAACCCGCGGTCATAGAGTCTCAAAACTCCAGCCCGTCGCGTTAGCCACTAGACCAGCTAGCCACAATAAGATTCATCCAACTAGGTATATTTCTACACCATAGGAAAGTTAGCACAGGCACCTCTGTGACCACAAATGCAAGTTTTTACAGACGAATCTCCAGCTAGCGTGGCCGTGACGAACTCTAGCTCAAGTCCCTTCACTGCCGTCAACATGACTCAAGAAATCGTAATGACACGATTGCAATAAACCATACCCCCGGCAGGATTGAACCGCGGTCATAGAGTCTCAAAACTCCAGCCCGTCGCGTTAGCCACTAGACCAGCTAGCCACAATAAGATTCATCCAACTAACCGCGGTTCAATCCCGGCCGGGGGTATGGTTTATTTGCAATCGTGTCATTACGATTTCTTGAGTCATGTTGACGGCGGAAGGGACTTGAGCTAGAGGTTCGTCCGGCCCACGCTAGCTGGAGATTCGTCTGTAAAAACTTGCATTTGTGGTCACAGAGGTGCCTGTGCTAACTTTCCTATGGTGTAGAAATATACCTAGTTGGATGAATCTTATTGTGGCTAGTAGTCTAGTGGCTAACGACGGGTGGAGCTTGAGATCTACATGACCGCGCGGTTTTTCTAATCCCGCCGGGGGTATGGTTTATTGCAAACGTGTCATTACGATTTCTTGAGTCAAGATTCCTTTAGATGTATGCTGGTTTTTCTGTATCACACACAGATCCAGATTGTCACCCATAATTCTCCTATTTTTTTACTAGTGTTATTATTTTTGTAAGCTTGCTTTTATGTATTGGCTAATATTTTGGCAAAAACCCAAAAGTAATTTTTCTTGGGGGCTTTGGAGAATGTGCGGGCTGTAGAACAATTATTATAGCAAAAAAGTTGGAAGGGAGACATTTATGTTAGTCCCACATATGCTTCAGCAACTTACATATGAATGAAGCTGAAAAACCCTGTTGCCCAAGGGGGAGTGATCAGGCAAATTGTGCCTACTTGCTGCAAGACAGAACAGCAGTCAACTTCCAAGTTTTTTTTATGGGCCTTTGAGCCCGGTTTCTTTTTCTTTTGTCATTTTTTAAATGTTATTTTTTGAATCATTAATGGCTGTTCCCTGACTTTTTATAACAAAAATAGGTGGGACAAAAAAATTTTTATCTTGGGGGCAAAAAAGGGGAAAGTATGAAATATAGTAGTATCCATTTTTTATGGGTGTGAAGTTTGGGGTGGTAATGTTGCAGCGAGGAGGGGGTTTTGGAGGAGTGGAGATGTCCTTTAGGGCAGTGTGTGGTGTGCATATTATCAGAAAATTTGGGTGGGGGAAATTTTGGGAGAAGGTGTGGAGTTAAAAAAGCATTAGTCAGAGGGCTAAAGAGGGGTTTTTGAGATGGTTCATCATTTAGGGAAGGGTCAAAGTAGAATGACAAAAGGAGAGCATTATATCTGTAGGGGAAAGGGAAGGGGGTGTAGGGGTCGTCCCGAAAGGTTTTGGGGGGAGGGGGTAAAGGAGGGGTTTTGGGCGAGGGGCTTGGACTTCAGCAAACATGGGGCGAGGTGTTTGATAGGGTGAAGGGACAAATGGAATTTGGGGCCCACGGCTGTTGGGTGTGAGCAGGGTAATATTTGTGAAGGGGTTCAGGGGGAAAAGGTTATTTTTTATGGCTGGACATGAGTCCTGGAAGTGGGGAAATACAATGCCTGCACTTTAAAGGAGTGGTTGGGATATTGGGAGTTTGGAGGGGTATGTTGTGTTCTTTATACGTATATGCTTTGAACTGTTGTATTCTGAGCATTTCTGCAAAAACAGTGATTATGTGTGAGTGAGGTGAAAGTGTTGAATGATGATGAAAGTATTTTCTTTTTGGGGATTTTCTTTCTTTTTGGGTCACCCTGCCTCAGTGGGAGACAGCTGACTTGTTAAAAAAAAAAAATAGGTAGGGTACCTTAACCCTTTGACTGTCGCAAGCCCCTTTCTGAAACTGTCATTCTATGTTGCAAAATTTTTGGAAAAAAAAATAGTTTTTATCATGAAATGCTCCCGCGAAGTTAGCGGTCTCGGCAACCTATACGCATCGACGATTTCGCCAACTTTGAGCCCTGTTTTTGGCCAATTCCATTGTTCCAGTTGACCAAACTCATAGCTATTTCTTTAGAGCTCCATTTTTTCTATCAATTGAGTACAAGAAACTGCCCATTTACCGATTGGAACTACCCAATAAAGTGGTCAGAAATTGGCAGTTTGGCCAATTTCACGCAAATTAAAAAAGATGCCAATTTCAAAATAGGGTCCAGGATAAACAATGTAGACATTCTTGGCACTAAAATAACATATCCTCTGTTCATTAGTCATATCTCTCTTCCCCTCTTATATTACTATTGCTTTCTATTTTGATTTTTTATTCATACAAAAAATACAAAATTTACTGTTATGCAGACTACTGCATTATTGTAAAAATGGTATAAATAATATCAGTGCGCTAGTGAAAGAATATCAGACTCCCCAGTTGACGTGTATTGGATGTGTGGTGTGATTTGCTCACTCTTGAACATTGGCAAAAATCGAACATTTCCTCTACTTGGAGCTTAATTTCAAGGTCCTTTCTGCAATATGTTTTCCATTTTGTCATGTGAGACCATGAAAACGAGAATACAATGATAAATACTATACGAAAATACACCTCAAAGTCAGCGTTTTAATCCAAAAAAACGGTCAGTTTTTTTTCCTCATTATGCACTGCATGCTGCAGGATTTTTTTTTTATGTGGTGCACACTGACCACACAGACCCATTCTCTCATATGTGGGCCTACCAGCTTTCTCCTGCTTGATTTGAAGCCGCTAGAATTATTGAGTATGTATACATCCGAAACACTGGCTCATAAGACGTATATATACGACCAAAACAGTCAAAGGGTTAAGGTTGTCCTGAGCTCTGTCTTATTCCTAGTGCACTTCTTGCAACTCTTCTCTGTATTTGGGTCACTTTGCTGTAGCTTATGCTGATGACTGCTGTGTTTCAGTTTTGAGGCAGTGGAATAGCTTCATGTTTAGCTTGGCACACAGCTTCAGACTGTTTGCAAAATATATTCTCTGATTATCACTGAACATCCTTTCAATAAATGTTGTCTGCATTTCCTATTCTTCTTGTATGGCTCTCCTATCATGAGCTTCCAAAATTCCTTGACCTACTATTTAACCCTTTCAGTGTTGGGGGGGGGGGGGTCCTCTGTATCATGATTTGAAAGCAGTGTTGGTCCTGTAGTATGACACTCTGAGCTTGGCTCACTCAGATAAGCTGTGAGTGGTAAATTTGGGCCTATATATGAGAGAATGGGTCTATGCAGTAAGTGTGCACTGGTTGTATTCTGAGTTTCTTGGTTTCATTTGATAGAATGTGGGTGTTCAATTTCAAGTTGCTGTCTAGGAACAGCCCTAGGAATTTTCCTCCATATTGTTTAGCAATGGGAGAACTGTTAATTATAACATTTAATTGGACATTTGTAACTCTGTTCCCAAACATCATGTAGAAGGTCTTGTCAATGTTAAGCATGAGTTTATTGGTAGTCATCCAGGTTGATATGTTTAAGAGTTCTTCAGTAACAGTTGTTGAGAGAATCTGGATTTGGGTGGGAGATGACAAAAGTTGTCATCTGCAAAGAGAACAGGTCTAAGTTGCAGAGATACATATGGAAGCTCATTGATGTATATTAGAAAAAGCAAAGGTCTGAGGACACTGCCTTGTGGGATGCCAGTGTCGACAGGTAGTGTGAACAAGGTTATGCCTTGATAAAATATATTGATGTTGTAGGAAAAGCACTTTAGCACATTTCAGGAATTTATTAAAGGATTGTTTTTGATGAGTGGCTCTTAGTCTAATATATTAAATATTAGTGATTTTTTTTTATTATTCACACTGGTTGGTTTCCCACCAAGGGCTGGGTGGCCAAAAAAGATAAACTTTCATATCATTCACTCCATCACGTCTTGCCAGAAGGGTGCTTTAACTAAGGTTTTTAAACTGCAATTAACACCCTCCTTCAGAGTGCAGGCACCCTGTACTTACATCTCAGGACTCAAGTCGGCCGCCGGTTTCCCTGAACCCTATAAATGTTACCTGCTCACAATCAACGCCGTCAAGTTTTTAAAAACCATTTGTCTCCATTCACTCCTTATTTCAAACACGCTCAGGCATACCGCTGGAAGCCCAAAACCCCCTCGCACACAAAACCTCCTTTACCCCCTCTCTCCAACCTTTCCTAGGCCGACCCCTACCCGCCTTCCTTCCACTACAGACTGAACACTCTTGAAGTCATTCTGTTTCGCTCCATTCTCTCTACATGTCCGAACCACCTCAACAACCCTTCCTCAGCCCTCTGGACAAAAATTTTGGTAATCCCGCACCTCCTCCTAACTTCCAAACAAAACGAATTCTCTGCATTATATTCACACCACACATTGCCCTCAGACATAAACATCTCCACTGCCTCCACCTTTCTCCTCCTGCAAAAATCATCACCCATGCTTCACACCCATATAAGAGCGTTGGAAAAACTATACTCTCATACATTCCCCTCTTTGCCTCCAAGGACAAAGTTCTTTTCCCCACAGACTCCTAAGTGCACCCACTCACTCTTTTTCCCTCATCAATTCTATGATTCACCTCATCTTCTAGAACCTTTCCCTGACACGTCCACTCCCAAATATCTGAATACAT